AAAAGGTCAGATCCTCTAATAGCCAGGGATAGCTTCCCCAGAAGGAGAATGTAAACTCCATTATTTCTTTGGCTCAAAGACCAATGCTTACACATGAAATGCATCTCTCAGAGGACCTGAGATTTCATATTCAATGTAGTAGCATTGCTCATGAAATCAACGTAAAGATCCATTTGAGAATATTAACAATACCACTTCATATCGTTCAGACTGATCACCTTTCTGACACTTATAGGAGATTAAAACAAATAAAAACCAAAATTAAAAGCTCAACCACAGAAGTGCACTGCAGTTTCAGGACATTTAATGCAACAGAGTGCAAAGTCACAGTCAGGAGAGGAGCCAGGTTTCCTTCTCTGGAAAAAGCCACTAAGTTCTACCAAGAAATCAAATTAATACCCCATTTGACTTTTTTTCTTCATCAAACTTCCCAGTCAAAAAGTGTTTATTACATCAAGTCATTACACTTAGAATACATAAGTGCTTTATGTAAATGGCACTTATGCAGTACAGTAATACTTCACGAGTAGATTTTTTTTTTTCATCTTTCAGGTGTATTAAGGCAGGGAAAATGTTTGAGAACTGGTAGTTAGAGAAGTAGAAGCTGCCATAGGTTTAAGAGTTGCATGAACACAGCTTTTTCATTTTCATTTGGAAATGAAAATTATAAATTTGGAAACAGAAAATTACAAATAATTACTTGCTCAACATCATTAAAAATCCTCTGATTCCCAATCCAATGTTCTTTTTACATTTCAACATGCTGGCAATATGAACCAGAATTAAGATTTTAAAAGAACAGTGATTTAGAGAAGTACTAAAAAAAAAAAAAATTCTGGCTTCCTGTGATGACAGAAAAAAATATTTAACTCACACTTCTTATTTGCTAATACTTCCTCAGGTAATTCTACAGGCCCTTAAAGAGCTTTCCACACATTAAATACCCTTTGGGGGGGGGGGTCAATTCCTTTATTTATCATTTAATTGCAATCTTTCCCATATTATAAGGTTGAATTTCATGTTAGAACTCAAGTTGAAAGAAAATGTGGCCAAGATTATCTGGTGCAATACACTCCAAATCACCTTTGAAACCAAGTGGTTTAGTTTAGTCAAAATTACAGAACTGTCAGGTAAGAACCTGGTGAAAATGTAATCCTGTATCACTTAGAATACTGCAACTTCCTCATCTTCACCACACAGAAACACAAAAATAATTCAGCCTCTAGCAGTTCTGCATTGTTAGATGAGTCTGCATTTTTTGTTTAAAGTACCCTGGGCTTCACAGGCCTTGCTGCTATGTTCACGTTCTTAAGATGTTCAAAAACTCCTACTTCCACGATTTTAGTAGTTCATATGCACCTAATTTTTTAAAACCTTTATTCAACTTGAGTAAGAATACAATTACACAACCCATACAACAACATTGTGGATGGAGTTAGTAAATCAGATATGTTAATCAATTATGAATTTTCCTTATGCCCTGTGAATGGACCAAAGCCTAGTAACATATTGAGCCAACACGGCACACAGAATATACAAAATTATAAAGTAAAAAGTATTGAAAAGAAATTGACATTTGGAGAAGGCAAACTCCAAAGAAGGCAATCTAAGAAAATAAAGTGTGAACGCTACAAACTGAAAAACAACAAAGTGTAAGTGCCTTTTCTAAAACACTTTAGAACAGATATTTTATCAAAAGTTCAGGGACACTTGGTGTTAACGTAAACCTCCTTAATTTTTAAGGGATGACAGTAGCAAAAAAAAAAAAAAAAGTACTGTGTGTTACTATGAAAGAACAATGTAGCCATTTACGACAGAAAACAAATGTGGGCTAACCAAGGATTATGCTACTAACCAGTCCATATCCAACATAACCGCATCAAAAAATAAAACAAAAATTGACATAAGCCAAAATATCAGACATATAAAACATGGTATTCAAAGTGATTCAATTGTCCAGCCTTAAGTGAAGAAAAGCTAAGCACTTTTGCCTCTGATTTCACTATGCAAGGTGGAAAGAAACCAGATCAAAAGATGGGATGCATAGGCCAGGCATGGAGCTCTCATGCCTGGATCCAGCACTCTGGGAGGCTAAGGCAGGAAAATCACTTGAGCCCAGGACTTCATAGAGACCAGCCTAAGCAACATAGCAAGACCTCGTCTCTACATAAAATTTAAAAATTAGGGCCAGGTGCGGTGGCTCACACCTGTAATTCCAGCACTTTCGGAGGTCAAGGAGAGTGGATCACGAGGTCAGGAGATCAAGATCATCCTGGCCATCATGGTGAAACCCCATCTCTATTAAAAATACAAAAATCAGCCAGGCATAGTGGTGTGTGCCTATAATCCCAGCTACTCAGGAGGATGAGGCAGGAGAATCACTTGAACCCGGGAGGTGGAGGATGCAGTGAGCTGAGACTGCGCCACTGCACTCCAGCCTGGGCTACACGGCAAGACTCAGTCTCAAAAAAAAAAAAAAAAAAAAAAAAAATTCAAGTTAGGCCGAGTGCAGTGGTTCACACCTGTAATACCAGCACTTTGGGTAATCCCAGCACTTGAGGAGGCCGAGGCGGATGAATCACTTGAAGCCGGAAGTTCAAGACCAGCGTGGCCAATGTGGCAAAACCCAATCTCTACTAAAAATACAAAAATTAGCCTGGCATGGTGGCACATGTCTGTAATCCCAGCTACCCGGAGGCTGAGGCAGAATAATGCTTGAACCTGGGAGGCAGAGGTTGCAGTGAGCCAAGACTGTGCCACCATACTCCAGCCAGGACAACAGAGCGAGACTCTGTCTAAAAAAAAAAAAAAAAAAAAAAAAATCAGCGAGGCCTGGTGGCATGTGTCTGTGGCCCCAGCTACTTAGAAGGCTGGGTTGGGAGGATCACTAGAGCCCAGGAGGTCAAGGCTGCAGTGAGTCATGATCACACACTACTGCACTCCAGCCTGGGTGATAGAGCCAGACATCATCTACAGAAAATAAAATGCAATGTACAAATGCTACAAATTGTCAAATTTGGTTTTTTTTCCAGTCCAACTAATTCATTTCTTGTCCCTATTCTTCAAATAATTTACACTTTCAAACAGTCTGCAGATGCAACAACAGGGACTCCGTGTTTTTTACTGTTGTTGATTGTTTTTTTTCTTTTTTTTTTTTTTTTTTTGAGACAGTCTTATTTTGTCACCTAGGCTGGAGTGCAGTGGTGCGATCTCAGCTCACTGCAACTTCTGCCTTAGCTTCCCAAATAGCCGGGATTACAGGCGCCTACCACCATACCCGGCTAATTTTTCTATTTTTAGTACAGACAGGGTTGTGCCATGTTGGCCAGGTTGGTCTCCAACTTCTGACCTCAGGTGATCCGCCCACCTCGGCCTCCCAAAGTATTGGGATTACAGGCGCGAGCCACCACACTAGGCCCTTACCTTATTTTCTTTTTAAAGTAATATGCATCGCATTCATAACTGGAATTGCTGCATTTTTCTTTTGCATAGGGGTGGGAAACTTTCCACTAGAAAGTGAAAAAAAAGGGTATACAAACTCTCAAAATGCTGTAGTGACTAATCGCATTTATAACTATGACTATCCTTTCCTTTCTTTCTTTCTTTCTTTTTTTTTTTTAAGACAGATTCTTCCTCTGTCTTCCAGGCTGGAGTACAGTGGCAGAATCTTGGCTCCCTGTAAACTCCGCCTCCCCAGTTCAAGTAATTCTCCTGCCTCAGCCTTCGGAATAGCTGGAATTACAGGCGCACACCACCACGCACGCCCAACCAATTTTTGTATTTTTAGTGGAGACAGGGTTTCACCATGTTGGCTAGGCTGGTCTCAAACTCCTCACCTCAGGTGATCCACCCGCATGGGCCTCCAAAATGCTAGCATTACAGGCGTGAGCCACAGGGCCTGGCCCTTTAAGTCATTTCTAATAGACGTATACAGAGGTATGTTCACTTTTTGTTCCATAGTTTACTTTCAAAACTGCAATTACACTATTTTCCAACCTGTTTTCATTTAAGAACGTGTACTTCTATACCTTTAAATTGTATTTGGGCTGATTTTTTATAGCTTTTTTGAATGAAATTCCATCCTTAGTGTAAAAGGGTTTAAAATTATGAATTAAAACAATACTCCCAACATCTCCGTCTCTTCCTCTATACTACCTGAGCTCAGAAAAAAAACAGTAAACCATCCACACTGGATGTGTGTGATAAATATCCCGAGACATGTAGCGCCTAATATGATTCTCATCTTAAGCCAAAGACATGATGTGTTTACAGTGATATTTCAAGCACTATCCTGCAGATTGGAGGAGACAAATATAAAATTCGTAGTACTATAGTCAGCTATTCTTGCTACAAGAAAGCCCCTCTGTGTTTTTCAATAAAAGTAGAACAGAATAGTGCAAATTTCACCACTCAACAAAATACCTTACCTGGTGCTCTCAACAGCGCTAAACATAAACAAGTAACGCATACAAGGCACCGCATGGGACAGCTGCTACTGAGGACAAATCGATCAGGAAGACCAAAGCTTAAAGTGGAGCGAGAGAAGGGTATGGAGGGGTATTTCATCATCGTCAAGCTGGCGTGCGAACAGAAGTCTCCGGGCATTATTTAGTATTTCGCCTTTCTATTCCTGACATCACCAAACGTCACCAAAAGACAGGCTGGCATTAACCCGGCAGGGTGACGCACATAACGTCTTACCATATGGATTTTCATCAGCCCAGACCGACGAACACTCTCAAGCCTGCCCGGTGAAGGCAGGCGGGTGCTCCAGGCCGTTAGCTCTCCCAACCGCGGCGCGCAACGAGGTGCTGCACACAGGGTTTGGAGGCTGCAAGACCACCGGACCAGACGCCCTCAGGGCCAGCGCGGGCCTCCGGGGCTGTGGACTCGCGCGCAGCCCGAGGAGGTCGCCCGTGCGGCCGCGGTCGCCAGGCGTCAAGTCCCCGCCCGAGCAGCCCCCGCCCGAGCAGCCCCCGCCTAGGAGGCGGACCCCGCCACGGCTCCTCGCCTGGACCGAGGGTATCCGCCAGGGACGCCGACAGTCGGCGCAAACCCCCTCTCAGGGGTCGAAGCCCGCACAGCACCGTACCTGAAGGGGCAGCGCCACCTCCGCCGGATCGCGCAGGCTTCCCCACCGGCGGCAGTCGCAGCTCGGACGCCAATGACGCCTCTTATAAAAACAACAACCTGCTCGCAGGCGTCCGCAGCCGGTAGGCAGTGGTCGGTTGGGCGCCGCAGTGCATGCCGGGATGCGTAGTCCGGCTCGCGCCTCCCGCCGGGCAGCGCTGAGGATAAGGACTACGACTCACGAAAAGGAGCGCAGGCCGCCGCCGGGCGGCTGCGGGAAGCGCAGCCAGGCAGCCTCGGATCCCCACAACATCCGGGAGCCGGTGACCGCGGCCAGTTGCTATGGATACGAGTTGCAACCTCCAGAAAGGATTCGTGGTTTCACCGGGGAAAACGGCTCTCCGTATTAAACGGATAGGTTTACACATCCTGATCCACCCAGCTATTCATCTTCTATTTGCTGCTTTCATTGGGTGCAGTTAAAAGACCACGTCCCTGGGCGTTCACCGGCTTTTTTTTGCCGTCTGCTGCATGAAAACTGTTTTTTGCCGAAAACATTAACAAAGAAGATAGCGAAAATGACAGACCACGACTGGGTAAGTTTAGACAGAGGGCTAGATGTTTCGGAATGTTGGTATTCGTTTATATAAATTGAGGCACCCCTTACTCCTACCACCCCCAAACCCCGAAAAGCACCTTAAAAGGCAACTACTGAGCTTTTACATTTACACCTGTAAATGCACATTTCATTAAATCCAAATAGCTTCTGAAGGTGTAAAGACCATCGGGATTGTCATGCACTCATACCCTACTGCAAACTGTCCAGTGATGGTTTTGAACAAGAAAAACGTACTTTGTTAATTGTACACTTATTTAAATTGTACTCTGTCAAAGAAGGGAGTTTTTTTGAAAAGTGATATGGTGGCCGGGCTTGAGGGCTCACACCTGTAATCCCAGCACTTCGGGAGGCCAAGGCAGGCGGATCACCTGAGGTCAGAAGTTGGAGACCAACCTGACCTACCTGGTGAAACTACTAAATACCAACAATTAGCCGAGAGTGGTGGCATGCCCCTGTAATCCCAGCTACCTGGGAGGCTGACGCAGGAGAATTGGTTGAACCTGGGAGGCTGAGGTTACGGTGAGCCAAGATCACACCATTGAACTCCAGGCTGGGCAACAACAGAGAAACTCCATCTCAAAAGAAAAAAAAAAAAAAAAGATATGATACATTTATAGTCACTGTTTTCAGAAGCAATGAAAAGCTTAGGTTTCATTTTCCGTCCCCTAACTGTGATAAAATTAAATAAATAAATAAAAAAATAAATAATAAAGGAAAACATTAACAAGGAAGATGGTGGGCCTGAGCAGACAAGAGTGCCTCAAAATTAATCTTTTTTATTTTTGCTTCTGTGTTAACTATACTTAACATCAACAGTGACATCAAAAAATCTTAATTTTATAATTACAGCTTCTGCAATGGTCATTATCAGTGGCTTGTTTTCATTTATCTTTATAAGTGTATATGTGTCTATCCCGAAGGACTTCGAAAACTCATAGTGGTCTGGCCTTCTCTAACTTTAACTGAAAATTAAATTACTAAGAAAGCTAATACCAGCTACTTGTAGATTTTTATACCTTTCAAGGCACTGTCACAGGCCAATTTTAAGATTTAATTTCTTCTGAAAAATCATTTACACTTTTAATGAAGCTTTTTTATCATTTAAGTAAATAAGAGTTGTTCACAAATGTGGCAGAGACTTTAAAATCATCCTTTTATTATTCTTTGTACTGGCTGTTTGTTTCATTCTTAACTGTAGTCAGTTTGAACTCCAATTTTACGAATATCAGGTTTGAAGAAAGTGAAACCCAAATAAGAAAACTGCAGTGGGGCTGGGCATGGTGGCTCACCCCTGTAATCCCAGCGCTTTGGGAGGCCAAGGTGAGCACATCATGAGGTCAGGAGATTGAGATTATCCTGGCCAACATGGTGAAACCCCATCTCTACTAAAAATAAAAAATTAGCCAGGCATCGTGGCACATGCCTGTAATCCCAGCTACTCCGGAGGCTGAGGCAAGAGAATCACTTGAACATGGGAAGCGGAGGTTGCAGTGAGCCAAGATCGCACCACTGCACTCCAGCCTGGGCAACAAGAGTGAAACCCTGTCTCAAAAAAAAAAAAAAAGAAAAAGAGAATCCCCAGTTTATAATTATTCTGAGATAATTATACCAGGGCTGGATGAATATTTATCTTACATCAATGTAAGGCTGAGGAAAAAACTTAACTATTTAAGAAAAGAAACTATTTTTGAGTACTTTTATTAGTATTTTTGGCATTAGCATTATAATTAAAATTAACATCCATCTAAATCAGTACACATTTCAGTTCTTTTGTAAGTAATGATGTGAATTAAAATTTTCTACAATAAAGTTTCTTATGATAGAATTCAACATCAAAATTTCAGGATTCAGTCATGACATTTTTAGAGTTTTTCATAAAGTTTGTTAATTTTTTTAAACATTGTTTTATATATATATATATACTTTTTTTTTTTTTTTTTTTGGAGACAGAGTCTTACTCTGTGGCCAAGCTGGAGTACAGTGTCTGAATCTCAGATCTCAGCTCACTGCAACCTCTACCTTCCAGGTTCAAGTGATTCTCCTGCCTCAGCCTCCCGAGTAGATGGGACTATAGGCATGTGCCACCACACCCATCTAATTTTTGTATTTTTAGTAGAGACAGGGTCTCACCGTGTTGGCTAGGGTGGCCTCCATCTCTTGACCTCATGATCCACCCGCCTCAGCCTCCCAAAGTACTAGGATTACAGGTGTGAACCACCAGCCCAGGCCTAAACATTGTTATATTAATGTATCAGGCCATCATCAATACTAAGTGCTTTTCAGTGCCAAAATTATGTTTCATCTATATAAAAAAATTACATATATGTATTTGATTTACATATTACATTGTAGTAAATGGCACCACTATCTACCCAAGTGTTTGTCCAGGAAACTGGAAGTTATCCTAGATCCCCTTTTCTTCACCATCCACCTCTAATCAGTCATGAGATCTTGTGAATTCTACTTCCAAAATACGTTTCAAATTTGCTCCATTGGCCCTTCGCCGTAGTTCACGCCTGTAATCCCAGCAGTTTGGGATGCTGAGGCAGGAGAACCTGGGAGGCAGAGGTTGCAGTGATCTGAGATCTTGCCATTGCACTCCAGCCTGGATGACAGAGCGAGACTCTCTGTCAAAAAACAAACAAGACAAAACAAAAACAAACAAATTTGCTCCATCTCCATGTTACCACCTACTGTATACTGTCATCATTACTCACATGGACTACTAAGTTCCTCACCACATTCACAAAGACCCTAACAACACCAGAGTAATTTTATTAGAATTATATTACATCATGTCACATCTCTGCTTAAAACCCTTCAATAGCTTTCCACTGCTTTTACGATACTCAAATTTTAAACACAGTCAACAAGACCCTGAGAGATCTGACCCCCTGGCTGACTATTCTGATCTCATGACATTTTCACCCTAACTTATTTGACTTTTGCCATACTTTGTCCCCACCTCTATCTTTTACTTCCTTGCCTTATAGTCAGTGTCAGATTGAATGGTTTCTCAGTGGAATGGTTTTCCCTAACCCCCAACACTAGATTAGAACTCCCATTCTGTCTCTATTAATGTTTTATTTTTTTATTCATAGCAATTATCACAATTTTAATTATTCTGTTAGCTGCATAATTAGTTGCTTAATGGCTGCCCACATACCCAGGATAACCCTGAGTGTTTATCTTGTTCCTTTCTCACTCTAAAATCAAGCTGTACTTCCTCTTCCAACTATGACTTTTACACATTTTCCCTATGATTTACAGATTTTTAAATACTCATAGTTCTAGTACAGAATGTTTAAAAAGCTACTTTATGCAAATGTGTGACAAGTTTGCTCTGTACAGGTGTATATGATTTTATGGGTGGTCTTCAATGCCCTAGAGAATAGAATTCCTGAAAAAGGGAAGGTGGGTAAGACTAGGTTTAGTTTTATTTTTTTCAGAACTTTATAATTGAGAATGATTTTGTGTGCTTATCTTTTAGGATAAGAAAAGTACTTCACATTCAAATTCAGACACAGAAATGAAATCTGAACAACTGCCTCCTTGTGTGAACCCTGGCAATCCTGTGTTTTCATGTATGTTGGATCCAAAGACACTCCAGACAGCCACCTCACTATCAAAACCTCAGATGATTATGTACAAAACCAATTCAAGTCATTATGGTGAATTTCTACCTATCCCACAGTTTTTCCCCTGCAATTATACTCCAAAGGAGCAAGTATTTTCAAGCTGTATCAGAGCAACTGGATTTTATCAAAATAACACTCTAAATACTGCACCTGACAGAACCAGAACCCTTGATTTTCCTAATTTTCAACACACTCTATGAAAATATATTCCTTTGTATATTTAAGAGAAAATATACTCAGGAAAAATGAGTTTTAAATCTAAGGGTAGAATACCTAATTAAGAAGATAAAAAGTTTTTAATCATTTTAAAAAATAAGTTAAATAAAGTATTTCAACTGATAGCTGCATGACAGTGTACTTTTTAAATAAAAATATGTTCAAAATAGCAAAATATAAGGTAGAAGGTGTTTTAGTGCATGTAGTCCAAAAGCTTCAAAAACCTTTCATATTTTATTTACTTATCAAGACAAAGGAACACAGGAGCTGTAAGAAAAAACATTGATTTAAGGAAGATTCTGACCAACAATTTCATACTTTAATTTTTTTATGTTTGGAGACAGTGTTTCATGCTGTCACCCAGGCTGGAGTAATCATGGCATGATCATGGTTCACTGCAACCTTGAACTCCTGGGCTCAAGCCATCCCCCACCTCTGAGTCTCAACTAGTTGAGACTATAGGCACGCAGCACCATGCCCCCAGCTAGTGTGTGTGTGTGTGTGTGTGTGTGTGTGTGTGTGTGTGTGTAGACAGAGTCTCACTGTGTGTTTGTGCCTGTCTTCAAGCAGTCAAGCCATCGCCCACCTCAGCCTCTTGACTAGCTGGGACTACAGGCATGCACCACTATGCCCCCAGCTAATGTGTATGTGTATGTATATGTGTTGACAGTGTCTCCCTGTGTTACCCAGACTGATCTCAAACTTCTGTCCTCAAGCCGTCAACCTGCCTCAGCCTCTCAAGTATTGGGATTACAGGAGTGAGCCATGCTGCCCGGCCAATTTCCCACTTTTTTAACATAATGTTAATTCCCACTGCTATGCTGTTGGAAGACAGAACTTGTAATTTATTGATTCATTTAGCAAATATTTTTTGGATCCTTACTGATGGCAGACTGTACTATTCAAATAGAGATAAAGAAATAAAAGACAGTGACTTTTATTGTTTTAATTAACAATATTGGCCAGGAACTGTGGCTAACTCCTGTAATCCCAGCACTCTGGGAGGCCGAGGCAGGTGGACCACCTGAAGTCAGGAGTTCAAGAACAGCCTGGCCAACATGGTGAAACCCAAAAAAATTAGCTGGGTGTAGTGGTGGGCACCTGTAATCCCAGCTACTTCAGGAGGCTGAGGCAGGAGAACCGCTTGAGCCCGGGAGATGGAGGCTGCAGTGAGCTGAGATCGCGCCATTGCACTCCAGCCTGGGTGACAAAAGAGTAAAACTCTGTCTCAAAAAAACAAACAATATTTTAGGAGAATGAGATTAGCAAATTAATGTGATAATTTATGTAATATAAAGTACGAAGTATGCACAGGCTTTTCAGATAAAGACAGAATTGCTCAAATTAAGACCAGAGAGATCAAGAGAAGCGTCCTGGAAAAGATAAAGTTAAATCAAAGGAAAGCTGTTCTGGCAGAAGAAACTACATGGATAAAAGTACAAAGATGTGAGGTAATGTGGTATATTTTCATAAATGCAATTAATTTGATATATCTTTAACACAGTGTGAGCAGTGGTAGGTGACCGGCTATACAATTTTTTAAGATCTGTGATTCCACTGTACACACAGATTTATTTCAGCTGCCATCTGTTTAAATGGTATGTTGACATTTGGGTCTGAGTATCTTTCTGGAAAAAAAAAGCAATCATTGTTACTTTCCCCTGTTGGTATCAGTTCAGGATATTACCATCAATTAGAAAAAAATAAATTTGTGAGTCATTAGGGGATTATAAAAGTTGAATCTTCTAATCATAAAAGTAGCTGGATGTAAGGAAACAGCTCAGACTCTACAGCCTCATCAGCTTCTTCCAATAACCCCCCCCCCAAACTGATATTTGGTAAAGGCACAAGCAAGAAGAAAAATTAATTTTGTTCACTTCCTCAAAACATCAAATAGGCACTACACAAGATTTCCAAGTGAATTAGGCAATAACATTTGAATTTATTCGCCTGTCCTTGTGGTATAAACCATACAAACTGTTTTTCCCCTTCACTGTAGGTGCCCAATTTGTGGCAAGTGAATTTACCTTTTTCTATGTAGCATCTAGACACTAACCTAAAATTCCTAACTACAGCAGGTGTACCATTGGGTCACTTTTGTTGTTGCTAAAATTCTCAGGATTGGCCGGGTGCAGTGGCTCACACATGTAATCCCAGCACTTTGGGAGGCCAAGGCGGGTGGATCACAAGGTCAGGAGTTCAAGGCCAGCCTGGCCAACATGGTGAAACCCCACCTCTACTAAAAATACAAAAAATTAAAAAATTAACTGGGTGTTAATGTGCCTGCAGTCCCAGCTACTTAGGAGGCTGTGGCAGGAGAATCACTTGAACCCAGGAGGTGGAGGTTGCAGTGAGTCAAGATTGCATCACTGCACTCTAGTTTTTTTTTTTCTCAAGACAGAGGCTTGCTCTTTTGCCCAGGCTAGAGTGCAGTGGCGTGATCTCGGCTCACTGCAACCTCCACCTCCCAGGTTCAAGAGATACTCCTGCCTCAGCCTCCCTAGTAGCTGGAATTACAGGTACTTGCCACCACATCCAGCTAATTTTTGCATTTTTAGTAGTGATGGGGTTGGCCAGGCTGGTCTCAAACTCCTGACCTCAGGTGCTCCGCCCACCTCAGCTTCCCAAAGTACTGGGATTACAGGAGTGAGCCACAGTGCCTGACCCAAAACTTAGTTGTTTATCTGATCTGATAAATCAGGAGATATTTGACAGCCAAATCCCCAAACAGACCCCTTTTAGCTGGCAGGATAGGGAAGTCTCCTCTGTTTTACAAGGAAAGTGATCTGAAGCAAGCAGACATCGACTAATCCACTTTTCGTATTATGCTGTCTCTTGTTTCCTGCCTGAACTACCTTAAAAATATCAACTGTTTTTAACCACCAGGGGGTTTTGTTCCCTAGACAGAGCCCATTTATTAAGACAGGGAAATTTGCAATAGAGAGAGAGTAATTCACATAGAGCCAGCTGTGCAGGAGATGAGAATTTTACTATTACTTAAATTAGTCTCCCCAAGTAGCAGGGAAGCAGAGTTTTTAAGGAAAACTTAGTGGGTAAGGGAAAGCCGCTGGCCAGGAGTGCTGATTGGTTACAGATGAAATTACAGGGAGTCGGAGCTGGTTTTCTCAAGTTAGTTCCTGGGTGGGGGTTCACAAGATTAGATAAGTCCCTTTATTGATTTGGGTAGTGCCAGCTGATTCATTAAGTTCAGGGTCTGCAAAATATTTTAAGCACTGATCTTAGGAGCAGTTTAGGGAAAGCCAGAATTCTGTAGCCTCAAGCTGCATGACTTCTAAACCGTAACTTTTTTTTTTCTTGAGACAGAGTTTTGCTATTGTTGCCCAGGCTGGAGTGCAATGGTGAGATCTTGGTTCACTGCAACCTCCCAGGTTCTAAGATTTTCCTGCCTCAGCCTCCCCATGAGTAGCTGGGATTACAAGCATGCACCACCATGCTAATTTGTATTTTTAGTAGACACGGCATTTCACCATGGTGGCCAGGCTGGTCTTGAACTCCTGACCTCAGGTGATCCACCCACCTCGGACTCCCAAAGTGCTAGGATTACAAGTGTGAGCCACTGCTCCCTGCCTAAATCATAATTTTTAATCCGTGGCTAATGTTAGTCCTACAAAGACAATTTATTCCCCAGGCAAGAAAGAGGTCTGCTTTGCAAAAGGGCTGTTACTTTCTTTGTTTAAACTATAAAGTATGTTTTTTGTTCTCAAGACAGAGTCTTGCTCTTTCACCCAGGCTAGAGTGCAATGGCATGATCTCGGCTCACTGCAACCTCCACCTCCTAGAGTCAAGCGATTCTCCTGTCTCAGCCTCCTGAGTAGCTGGGATTACAGGTTTGTGCCACCACGCCCCGCTAATTTTTTATATTTTTAGTAGAGACAGGGTTTCACCATGTTGGCCAGGCTGGTATCAAACTTCTGACCTTCTGATCTGCCTGCCCTAGCCTCCCAAAGTGCTGGGACTACAGGCGTGAGTCACCTCACCCATTAAAGTTAGTTCAGCCCAGGCATCCCCAAACTTTTTACACAGGGGGCCAGTTCACTGACCCTCAGACCGTTGGAGGGCCGCCACATACTGTGCTCCTCTCACTGACCACCAATGAAAGAGGTGCCCCTTCCTGAAGTGCAGCGGGGCGCCGGATAAATGGCCTCAGGGGGCTACATGCAGCCCGCGGGCCATAGTTTGGGGACGCCTGGTCAACATGGAGAAACCCCATCTCTACTAAAAATACAAAATTAGCTAGGCATGGTGGCGCATACCTGTAATCCCAGCTACTCAGGAGGCTGAGGCAGGAGAATTGCTTGGACTCAGATGGCAGACATTGCAATGAACCGAGACAACACCATTGCACTCCAGCCTGGGCAACAAGCACGAGACTCCATCTCAAAAAAAAAAAGAAAAGAAAAATCAAAGGACTCACACAACAATTTGTGGCATCAGATGATCAGATACTATAAAAATTCATCCCAGCTTTGTTTCCTTTTCCTCTTTTTTTTTTTTTTTTGAGACGGAGTCTCGTTCTGTTGCCTGGGCTGGAGTGTAGTAATGCCATGTCAGCTCACTGAAACCTCTGCATCCTGTTTCAAGCAATTCTGCCACAGCCACCCAAGCAGCTGGGACTACAGGTGTGTACCACCATGCCCAACTACATTTTGTATTTTTAATGGAAACGGTTTCACCATGTTGGCCAGGCTAGTCTCAAACTCCTGACCTCAGGTGATCTGCCCACCTTGGTTTGAAAAAAAAAAAATGGCTAGGCATGGTGGCTCACACCTGTAATCCTAGTTCTTTGGGAGGCAGAGGCAGGCAGATCATCTGAGGTCAAAAGCTCAAGACCAGCCTGACCAACATGGCAAAACCCTGTCTCTACTAAAAATACAAAAATGAGCTGGGTATGGTGGCAGGTGCCTATAATTCCAGCATCTCTGGAGGCCGAGACAGGAGAATCGCTTGAACCTGGTAGGCGGAGGTTGCAGTGAGCCAGTATCACACCACTGTATTCTAGCCTGGACAACAGAGGGAGACTCGGTTTCAAATTAAAAAAAAAAAAAAAAGGCAGGTACAGTGGCTCACACCTGTAATCTCAGCACTTTGGGAGGCCAAGGCAGGT